TGTGTATAAGAGACAGCCCCCTTTTATGGCCCAAACACTAATTCTGGAATGATACTGTGAAATAACTACATTATTATAGTTACAAATAATACAGAATTCTAGAAAATTCAAATTAGAGATATAATTTTCAACTGCAAAGTAATGCTAAATGTTGCACAGACATTTATAAGGACAATATTTTCCATCCCCACAGTTTCCAGATTAAATAAATTTGCAGGTACCTTATACTACAAATACAAAATTATCAAGATTAATCCAGATGCTTTAAAACAAATTTGCAGTTTGTTCCTGAGTATTTCCTAATTTTTGCCTAAAACATGAAGTTATAAAAGAAGTTTAGAAGCAGTAATTTTAAGGTAATCAACTACATTTAGGCAATGATTGGAGAAAATTTGCAGGAAGTCAGTTTTGTAAAGACTCAGACTATTTGTACAGAAACATGCAAAACTGCTAAACAGTAATCCCAACATATATTTGATAAAAGTATAGTAGCTGCCCTGTATATCCATCAGCTAGACATGTTATAAATCAGCACATGCGAGACAACTGTCAGAATAAGTGAGAGATATTACTAGAATTCAGGAAATAATGTCAATTAAGTAAATTTGAAATTCACTAAACAACTGTTCACTGACAAGTCTTTAACAAGTCATAGTCGTTGACTAACTACAAAATTAAAAAAAATCCCAACAACCAACAATTGAACAGGCCAAATTCCTGAGATCATTTTTATGTATTGTGTGGTTTCAACATGGGCAAGGTATGGAGAAGAGATTGCAATAAGAAATGCTAAATAATATGCTTTATTAAGCAGCTGGGTTTTGCTTCTATTTTTTTATATCTTTTTCATACACTTTGCTTAGTCAGTATTTTTTTAGAGAAGAATTGGAGTATTAAAATCTCAGAAAATAGCTATAACCCTTCGATCTGGCAAGGAAATTTGACATGGTCTTGCCTAAAAGCATGAGAAACTCTTCACACTTCTTGAAACAGATGAAAGGAATTTATATATATGTTAAAATAAGTTCAGTTTTTAATATTCAGTTCAAACTAAACATAAAAAATTAAACTCTGAAGGAGAGAAGCAACCATACAATGACAATAATAATTTTGGAAGAGAAAAACTAATTACAGAGAGAAGTAAATTTGGAGTCTTTTAAAATAAAGTGTTCTTTTGTCCTAAGTCACTCAAAGATCAAAACCTGATAACCCTAAAGTGGTTTTTTTTTTTCCTCTTTTTAACATAAGCCACAACCAGCCTGAATGGAATCCCTGTGGTTTTAATAACAATAAGATATAATGGGACAGAAATAAGGAACTGTATATTAATAATTTTTTTCATTATAGTTTTTTAAATTTTGACCTTTTTTTTCCCAATGTTCAACAATTTTTTTATTTTTTTTTTTTTAACAAGCATTTGAATAGAGAAAAAGATGCCTCTCTCTGTCCTTTGCTGAGCTTGAGAAGAATCGCTCAGTGACTGAGACTGATTTGAACAAGGATGTCTGATGACCCAGGCAAATACCTCAGCGCTACCTGCTTCTTCAAAGAGCTTATTTCTGTCCTTTCTCCTATAAATTAAAACCTCAACATGAGAATGTTAAGATTTTCAAAAAACTCAAAATCATATCCCAGCAGGTTTTTTTTGAGAAAGTGGTATTTTCCAAGTTAGAAATGTTTTGTCAAAGACTTTTTGGTCAGATTTCTTTAATCTCTTTATATACATTTACAGAATTTACTCATCTAGAGACCCTAAAATCATAATCTTTGCAATAATACAAGATACTCTCAACACATTAGCATGGCTCTACAGGTACAAATCATTCCTCAATACATACTTTCAGGTTCAGAAGTAGTCTACTAAAGTAAATCTTGATGTTTAGTTGCATTCCAGCAGTGAGGAGGAGTGAAATTGGGTTCATTACTCAGTTTATTAATGTCTTCTGCAAAATTGGTGAGTCAAATAAAAGCAATTATTAAATTTAATTTTTTTTTGTGGAGCAGAAACCAGCCTCTCAAAGTCCTGATGTTGCTTTCAATTACTTCAACTAGTAGGATTACTGATTAGGAATAACTTGACAGTTTTAATCTTGCCACTTTCTAAGTAGGTAACTATGAAAGCTAGTTTACTCTAAAAAAAAAAAAAAAGGAATTTCAGGACTATCCTTATTTTTAAACCAGTCTATCAATTCAATTCATAGTGAATGAACAATTCTGTGGAGTTGGGGTTGGCTAAAAGAGGAAAAGCATTTAGGCTTCTTTGCGTTAGTAATTACTGTAATTGTAAATGACACAGCTATCAGATTATGGGGTGTTGAACATGCTATTCCTAAACCATTCCTCCCCAACAACTCAACTCAACTTTTATTTCTGATTTGAAGGGTCATTTAAGCAATGATCTCTACAATTATGCAGCGGATGAAAGAAAAGTAGCCCTCTATCCCCTTCACTGTGCTGATTGTGCCGTGAAAGAATGCAGCCATTTTTCAGTTAAATTTTTGAAACTGAGTGACTTTCAGATCTACCTAATGAAAATCAACATACTTGCTCTGATGGCATACATTAAAAAAATATACACTACAGGCAGCTGAGGGCTTTCATATCTTCCAAAAATCATTCCTTTGGGACTTAAATGCTGAAAAATAAGAAAACCACCACACAGGCCCTCAAGAACAGGATCCTCACTTAACCCATTTAGCTCCAAAGGTGCCTAAGTGTTCCCCAATTAAGTTATCATGACTAATGCTCTGCTTCTGAATGTACTCAGTACCTATCAGCTTTCTGGGAACGAGGATGTCTTAACACTTCACCTCAAGTTAAATTCTCAGTGAAGACATTCCCTCTATCTGTTTCACCCTAAGCACCAGGATGGTAGAAATACTCAAAATAAACATAATGCATGTTTTGTTTAAAAAGACACACACAATGGAAGTGTGAGTGATGTGCTCTTCTTCAGACTAACTATAAAAGTAATAGAATAAAATGGCCAAGCAATTCTTGGAGTAGAGATTTGATTTATGTTTCTTTCCTTCCTTCAAGCTAAGTGCTGTAATCACTAAGTCAAAGAAGAATGCTCTATTTTTTTGAAGAGAGTAATACTGAATTTTCTTCTGAATAGAGGGAAAAAAGCCTCTAGCCCAGTTCAATGTATTTTCTAGCGTTTTAAGCCTCTCAGCTTCAAAGTTCAATGGAAGCCAAGGTCTTTCAAAAACAGTAAATTCATATAAACAATGAGATTTTCTGGTTTTCTTTTGTTTTATTTTAAATGGCGATTGCCACCTTATGGAGTAGATTAAGATGTCTCATTATAAGGAAAGAGACATGTCTTGGGTTCCACTGGGATAATGCTAATTTTCACAAGAAGCTGGGAGTGGGCAGTTGACCCAAACTAGCCAAGGGGATATTTGATACCATATGATGTTATGCTCAGTATATAATTAGGGAAGCTTGTGGAGGGGGATGGCATGGGGGGTGGGGGGGGATCGCAGCTCAGGAACAGACTGAGCATCAGTTCTGGGTGGATTGCCCAGAGGGCATGCAGGTCTACAGAGTCTAAAAAAAATAAAGTATCATTGTAAAGACTTGATCTAAATTCAGATGTCTCAGTGCTACTAAAATATACTAGAGCACTGCGGAAAATTTACCTTAGACCTCTGTATATGCATCACTGCAGAGACATTCAAGGCTACAAGCACCTTTAAAATAAACTATGTGCTGTGTAGAAAGAAGAGGTTAGAAAAGAGGAGAAAGCTTATAAGGTGGTGTGTAGAGGGTAAAATGCTCATTGTGGTCATCACTAACTGCCCCACTCTGAGCAGAATCAATGGGTGTGGGAACCAAACACAGACTGAAAAACCCCACCCATTGTGAACAAGAGACTATACTGAGCAGGATTTTGCAAAGCTGAGGAAAAGGTACAGCAAAGACTTTCAACAGGCCTAGGGAACTTGATTGTAAATGTCAGTTATATAAGCCAAGTTCAAAACCAATGTATTGGAAAGAAAGGAAAACCTACTGGCACAGCAAGAGCAGTTTACTGTAGGGGACTGTCAGTCACTTACTGTAAATCTCAGTCTTATTAGAACAAATTCCTGAAATGAGCATTTCATTTTTTATATTTCTCCCAAGTTGAGTGCAATACTATTCAAGAATGGCCTTTTCTTAAGCTGTCATACAAAACCGAACTTACTTTTTTGGATACAATGGGGAGCAGGTCCAAGCAAACACTTCTGTATCTTTAGAAGCACTGTTTACTACAAGTAGTTTTATTGTCAGTATAGTTTCCCTCGGAAGAGTATTCATACAGGAAAGTTGATTCTAAAAGAAAATCAGAAAAGAGCAAAATAAAAGTTGGGTTTTTTTTAAAAAAAAGAGCATTCTTACCACAAGTGAATTCTTTCTACATTTTTTAGATGCCTTAACACATATATAAAGCTATAAATTACAAGAGTTGCACTCCAGAGAAAAAAATCAACTGACAGATCCCTTCAACATATTGATGAGTATTGCCAACCATTAACTTGGGTCACAGTAATTGAGAAGAGGCGTGTAAAAACTCATCGGTAACCCCTAGAGCTGATAAAGGCAGGAAAAATTTAGTTAAACTTTTGCTTTAGAATTATCTTATCAGTGAAGGACTATTCCAGAATAAACAACCCTTAAGGGTGAACTGTAAACCAATAGTTAGTTATTTGCTGTCTTGTGTCTTCAAAGGAAAACACTACTTAAGAAACTAAAAGTTGCTTATGAGTAGAGCATGATAATCATTCTCTTGTTCAGATGTGCTCTGGTGGTGTGGTATTTCAGAGCTACAATTTAAAGGCAGATTTTGACTTAACAGTAATGAGTGATTCACATTTTTTAGTGAGAAAATTCAGATCTATCAATATTAATCTCAACTTTGTATTGACCATTAGTAAACTTTGTTCATCATTCAATTTGTTTATATGGATTATATGAATTGATTTAAAAACATAACTTAGAACAATTCTAATAAATAACTACCCAGTGTAACTACCCAGACATGTACAAGTCTGTATTTTCTTTTTCCTAAAGAGAACATTTATGGTGGATAGTATATTTCTAGCTTTTTCCATGTCTATTCAGTGCAAACTTAAATTTTTCAAGTGAAAAGTGAAATTACTTTTTTTCTGTATAAACAAAACAAATATAAGGAGCTAAAGGCTAAAAGAATTATTCTGCATTGGTGCATAAAATTGAGATTAAGAAAAAAAACAGAAGATAAATTTAAATAATATATATTAGTTTTAATTTTCAGATATTCAATCTAAACTGGCAGAACAATGCAACTCTCAGCATTTTTAAAAAAGGTATAGTCATACTTAAGCAATAAGCAAATGTAGAAATCAGTATTTTAAAAGTATAGTAGCCTGACAAACATAAAGATTATGGGAAGCAAAAATAAAACAAAGGTAATAGTATAAGGTAAAATTAGCATAAGATTTTGCTCCTAGTTCCAAATCTGGCAAAATTCTCTTGGCTTCAGGAAAGTTTCCTTGAATGCATTAAGGAGCCACTGAATGAAAGTAGATGGTTTACATCTGACGTTCTGCAGTACCCCCATTTAACATTAGTGTCAAAATTTCAGATGATCACTCTTAAACATTTGGAAATTATTCAAATCTGCATACCTCTCTCTGAATAACAAAGCAAGACAGCAATTTCCCACTCTTCCCAAGTAACATGAATAAAATTAAGAAGCTATTCTTAACTGTCTTCTCATGTGTCCCTATTTATAGCTTTCAACTCTGCTTTCCATTTCATGTCCTCTTCCTCATTCATTATCAGTTAGAAACAATTATTAGGAAAGTGAACTGTTTTACATGCTATAGATAGCTTGCTCTGTCTTTTTCACTTACAGACCAACAACTCAGCCCATGTTACAAAAAATGGTTTGACGAAGAGTTAACTCTAACTTAACTGTAAAGCATTGTTAATGCTGTGAAGAGACAAAGCTAAAAAAATCAAAACATGTATTTTCTAACTCAGACACTTGTTAACACTCCTTTTGAACCTGGAGCAATGAAAAAAAAAAAAAAAAAAATCACAATATCCTCAATGCAGAAAGCAAATCCTTGCCAGAGGTTCCCTAAGACACTATCACACTAACAGATGTACACCAGTAGGAAAAGAACCTGGAAACTCTGACAAGAGTTAGACATCCCAAGTTAAAGTATGAGCCAAAGAGGACCAAAATTTCCCTTCCATGATATATGATACATAGAGAAGGGGAATATCCGTATTGCTTTTAAGAACTTTGATTAACACATATCTGAGCTTACCCAGTTGCTATTATCCTTTCTGACTGCATGAGGCTGAGTAAAATGGGTGACTAACAAGAAAGAAAAATGGAACAGTGGCCAGAAATAAGACACCATGTGGGTGAAAAATTTCAACAGTAGTTGAAAAGAACAGAGAAGCTACTCACTGAGAAGGTGCTATTCACAGATGTCAGATAAATTATACAGCTGGTTTCAAAGGCCAAGTGCCTAATATCAGAAGAACACTCAACACAGGAGAGTCTGGGGCAACACAGGCTTTGCCCTGAGAGAATATAAACAAGATAGACAAGCCAAACAAAATACGGAGAAGAGGGAAACCCAATGCCAAGAAAGTATCTGAGGTGATAAATGGTAGCCTTAATATTAATGTCATCCTTCATGTCTGTAGGTTTAACATAAATTACAGAGGATAGGAAAACAGGAGAGGGTGGAATAAATATATTAAGAGCAACAAGCTAAACAAAAGAAAGAGAATAATTAAGAGGTCTCAGCCTGAAAAATGAAACTGATGAGAAAATAAGGGAGCAACTTTTGAACTTTACACATTATGTGTTTCAAACTCTGCACCAAGGTGACAACCACAGTTTTCAAAGATAACACACAAGTCCTAAAGCAAAAAGTATACTCTTAAAAAAGGAAAAACAGAAGAAACACTAAACAAGGCAATTTGTTTAGGTAGCAAATAATTTCCACCTTTACTGAGAACATTCTGGGAAAGACTAAATATAATAACAGACTTCAACAGAAGCTCATGTTTAAACACAAAATCCTATCAAGTTAAAGTTCAGACAGTAACTGGCTAAAGTGCTTAAAACATAAGCTAAATACATGAAAATCAGCAAATAAAGCAAGTTTGGTCTTCAGTAGAAATTATCTTCCTAGATCCCTAATCTTTTTTTTTTTTTTTTTTTTTTTTTTTTTTTTTTCTTTCTTCCTTCTTCAATTCAATCCTAAATCAAGATAAGGATTTATTTTGAATTAGCTAGTTTTATTTTTTGGTCTGATTGATCCCTAACTATATGGAGAATATTTGACTTTCTAATATAATAAGTTCTTTCTCTGACCTTTTACCACATTCATTTTCAATGGCTGTGATCAACTGAAAATAACATTTGGGTTAGAACAAAAGTAGCACTTTAACTCAAGGCAAGAAACTTGACAAAAAAAGAAATTTTCTCCTCTGTAAACTTTTTATGCAAACATTCCATTCTGTTTCATAAAGGTGATGTTATAGCCAAAAGATAATTAAGAGTGAACGTATCATGATTACAGTTTTGAGTGACCCAGATGTCCTACGATAGGAAATGGTGCCACTTGATGACTGTAGTACGTACTTCATTAAAATACTCTATTTTTTAATCAATTTCAGTTTGAACTCTTGCAAAAAGTATTAATTCATTTTTATATACATGTATTTACTGTAGTAAAGCCAAACTAGCCTGTGTCTGACATGTTTTAAATTATGCCAGTTAGGCCCATAGCACCTTCAATGATAATATGATATCACCTCTACTGTTCCTTCTCTCTGTGTATTTCAAAATATTTTCAATATATTGATTATTCTGTCAAGTTTTGTGTTGTTTGTTTATTCTTTCTTAGAGTGTTAGCAGCACAAATAGCAGAAAACACATTTTCTTGTTATAGAACGGTGACAAGTATTTAATAGTTAAAATAAATTAAAAACATTTCCTTCCCTATGTATATTTTCATACAGGAAAGATCTTCTGGCAACAGCGTACTACCCAATATGCTGATACTATACCAAAGTCATACTGTGGTAAGCACAACACAGTAAAGCAGTCAGTTCCTGTCTTTATGTGAAAACATTTCATTTTGTTAAGTGCTGTATGAGATTTGGAATAGGAACAGAATCTATTATCATGATGTCAACATGTTCATGTCCTGCAGTAAATGTCTGCTTTATAAACATCTCCTTTCTTAGCAGAATCTGCCCTGCCAGCCCAGGAATATTTCAGTGACTCAAAGAGAGAGAAGGCTCCAGCTGTAAGACTATTAGCTAATTTAACATACTCATTTGATGCTTGCATTTTTACTCAAAAATAGCATCCATTCACAAAATCCAGTTCTGGATATAAGCTAAAACATACAAAAATAATGGCATATCTGCTATCTAGATTCTCAGCCTGTTCTGGACCTCAGGTAATTAGGTCCAAGGAACCTCCCATTCTCTTTTGAGACTTAAGTCTAGGGCAATCAGTTTGAGGTGCAAAATATGTGAATGCCTTCGACAGTTGAGGTAAATATTGAAAAGCCTGTCAGACAGATATAAGTTTTTGAGTTCGTACTTTGGAATTTATTGAATTGTATTTTGAAAATTATTTTTGAAATTCAAGCAACTATAAAAGGTAAAAACATGCTTTTACAAATGAATGCTATTAAGTTTCATACAACTCTAGATCTTGTTTCTGATGTTAAGAGTCTCTTACAAGCATCTATGACCTATGAAAGAATTAGGACTGCATACTTAACTACTTCTTTTTCCAAGATTTTTGATGGAATTGCAGACATTTAATACTGATTTTGCAGAGGGAGAAGTTTAAACAGAAACCGTGAAGGTTTACATTTCCATGAAAATGAAAGAGCATCAGAATTTCTGTTCCAGTTATGAATAAAGAATTTATTTCTATTCTGTCTTCTTTTGTTTTAGAAAAAGGTTGTGTAAGATGCATTCCAGAAAAGGATCAGCCACTTTTTAGAAGTCAAAAATGCTCATAAGCAATATAATCATTCCCCTATACTTCAATTCTATCTACCCATATGAACTATAAGATAGTATTTGACCAAAATTTGAACAAGGTGAAAATTCCTACAGAGTAAATGGGAATGATCCAATTTCTTTAAACAGAAGGATAACAATTACTTTCCAGTCATACAAAAGATAGAGGGTTCAATGCTCAAACTCTATGGACTCAACTAAGGCACCAAAGGAGACGTCAGGCCCTAAGGGAACTAATTTGGATGCTTAAGAGAAATTCACCCATTATATTATTAACCACAGGGCAGACATACTAAGATTCCTGTATCTGTTCAGGAGTGTTGTGCAAAAAGGCTATGCAATATCTCCATTAAGATAGATGTGTAAAGTTTCAACATAAAAATATCTTTTTCCATTTGACCAGCTTCAAACTGTTGTGCGTCTTAAAGGCAAACAGAAATTATGAATTACACTCTGTATTCAATTCTAATTTAAAAAAAACCTCCTTTCAGATGACTTGTAGTCTTTGTTGAATTATAATGTATTCAAGTTGCTTTCAGATTTAGAATACAATAAACAGTGATGCAAAATACCAAAAATTTCAAAGATTGTAAATATAAACATGTCATGCTCAGGAAGCTGGAAGAATATAGTATTACTGCCAAATCATAAAAAAATGAATACTACTTCTCTCGCATCTATTGCAAATATGCTTTTTGTCATCCCATTGCCTTAAATGAATGTTGTTTGACTGTACACTTTGCTTTTCAATAGTTATTTTCCTCAGAGCAGACAGACAGGTGACAGGCAGTTACGAGCCTTTACTCTAAAATTCCAGTCTCAAACTAAGGTCCTCATTTTAAAACTGCAGATCTCTCTTATTAAAACACCCCACAACAGCCTTGTTCCTTCTAAAAAAAGAACACTTCAAGAAACTATAGGTTCTCAAGCTGGATTGCAAACCTACTAGAGGCAGATCCAAAGGGTTTAAGTCCTCAAAGAAGGACAGAAAAACCTCCTCTGGTTGCATTTCCTTTAGGTTCCAGTATTCCTCCAGGATGCCCCCAGTGAATGAAAGCTATTCTCAGACCAGCTTTGTTTAGCTTATTGTCAGACCAGACTTGGCTTAGTCCTGTTTCTCTTCCTCTGGCTATCCTACTCTTTTCTAACTCTGATCTTCCTAAGTTTCTCTGAATTCTGTGGAGTTTAATTTGCTCAGAAGAAGATTCATAATAAAGATGTGGGTCTTTCTTTTTTTTTTTTTTTTTTAAATTAATATTCAATGTGTAAAATCTGTCAGACAAACCTATGTCAAACACAGACCAAAATTTAGTTCTTGTTCCAGTCAGCCAGGAAAAAAATGGATCTTTTATCCAGTATATTTTTGCAGATTTTCACTTGACATATTGTCTTGCCAGGACAAGGTAGTGAACAGGAGAAAGAGAAAACTTTGTAGCTACAAAGGGGGAAAAAATGAAAAAAAACCATTAACTGTGACGCACTATGTCCAGCACACAAAGCTAACCATTCAGAAACTTGTGAAGATCCATCCTTACATGCAAAAGGATTTAAAATAATTACTCTCGTATTATTGGGGGATGTGTGTGTGTTTATTTTGGATTTGTTTGTTTAACATTCAGAGTTCAAAAAATGTACTTAAGATACCTAGATTCCATTCCATATTTTTGTCATTAAGATTAACTTTTTTTTTTTTTTCATTATTACAGTCAAGGGAAGTTTGGACATAAGTTTTGAAGTGTTGGAACTTGATCATCATACAACTTCAATCAACAGTAAATCTGTTTATACTTACTTCACCTAATCTGTAAAAAACAGAGAATCTATACATTCATTACAGCAGAAGCATTAAAGCCCTCTGTGTTGGTATTCTTCAGATACTTAACCGACAACTAATTTGGGTCTGGGGCTATCTGTTGGCTTCATATTCTTCTTACTCAAATCTTATAAAATTAGTCAAAAATAGAGGCAGAGTGTTTAATCAACTAAGGTTCTTAATTAGTCTTGTAACTTCCAGATCTTCCTGCCATTCTCAGCTTTAGACCACATTCTCCACAAGAATGATGAACATGGGAAACAATCAAATCTGAATTGGTAATCTGAAGCATTTGCGTATTGAAGGTGTCTGTCTGAAGGTTTGCGTATTGAAGGTGTCTATTCTCGTTATTTACAAGAATCACTGTTGATCTCTTTTCGAACAAAGTTATAATTATTGTAGTAGGTATGCTTTTTCTTTTCTTCTTTTTTTTTAGTTCAAAGAAAAGGATCAGGGAATCTGTAGTACTTATTAGGTATCAATGCAGAGAAAGGAAAAAAACACCTTAATAAGACTAGGAAATGCTTCTGCTCTTAAATATGGTATCTTTCCTCTAGTCTAAACATTACAAACAGTTGGAGAGTAGTGCAGGAATTGACAGGTTTAATACAAACAAATGATTAAGCATTATTGTTTATGCAGAAGTATTCATACACAATATACAGACATATTCCTGATTTACACACCATAAGGGCCTAATCCTGTAAATATTAATACTTACACAATGCTTCAGTCTGACTGAAGTCAGGAAGGCTGTTCAGACTGCATGCACTTAAAACCCTTTTAGGTTTTGTAGAGCATTTTGCCTAGGTAGCCTCCTTGTAGGCACAAAGGCATGACTCTATAGTCTTGTCCCAAAGATCAGTTAATATCATCCAGATGTAGATAGGAATTATTTAGGCTGTACAAACAAATGTGGTCAAACATGAAGCTAGTAACATTATGCCACTGGCAGCAAATAATGCACATCTGTTTGGGATAACACAAAAAAGTGATAAAAGAAACAAGAAGGAATGAAAAGACAGTAAAGAAGGGAAGGTAATCAGTTCTGCAACATTATTCTGCAACTTGTAATGTTTGTGCCTATCTTTTCAATGAGGACAGTAAGACGGACATAAGAAATTGAGAGCATAAATATAAAAACTGACATACAGCCAATCCACAAAAGTAAACTTGAGATGGATTTGACAGGACACTAACATGATTCTGTAAAACATAAGACAATTCACTCTCCCTTACCCTAAACGATTGAGAGAAAAGCTATTTATTACATACTGGTATGTATAGAAAAAAACAATGCAAGACACGCAGTGAGGGATGTGAAAATTCTAACATTATAATGCAGGAATATATATTACAATACATGTTATGAACAGCAGCAAGATCATAAAATGTGACCTTTGGGAAAGGGAAAATGAGAGCCGTAACGTAGTCAGCATGAATTCATACAATGCAGAAATAAGAACGGGGAGTATGCATGTGAATTAAGTTAGTATTTGAGAAAAGTAGGTGTCAGAGCAGTAGTCCATGTTAAGAAGTCCATGCTAGCTATAAATATTGCAAAGACTGGAGAGGTAGATTAAGGAGGAAGAGGGATTCTCATTTTCACATGCTTGAACATAGCATTCAAGTCATCAGTGTCCTTTAGGCCATAGGTAATTTCACATTTTTCTGGGAAAACATAAACCACAATGAGAATGGCATAACCATCTGAAAATCAGGATAGTGATTATAGTCCTGTATTTAGTACCTTAACTAATGCAAATTCTCTCAGATTTTTATTAACCAGCTAATGCTATATAATACACTCTCTTGCATACAGTCTAATGCAAATGATCCCACTGTTTTTTAATCAGTCATTTAGAATCAAGGTAAAGTGGGAGCAAGGGGAAAGTATTAATAAAAACTTGGAGAAGAGCATTTTGACTCATAAAAATAATGCTACCAGACTGGAGTCACCTGTCCTACTTTGATCACACTGGAGTGGTAGGAGAACACCAGTTTTGCTCAGAGTAGGAAAAGAAGCTATTTGAAGAGACAACTAATTTGACCAAATAAACAATCCAGAAGAGAATACTTCATCATCTGTTTATTAAAGTTGTCCCCCTCTTTTCTTTCCTGTGCTATGCTGATATACTAGGTATACTTGGACCTATAAACTATACTTATTTTAATCACTATCTATAAAGAGGATCATCAATACACATGCTTAGCCAAGTAATGTGGTTTGAATACACCAGAAGCAAAAACTCCTGATAAAGCCTCATTCAGGTTTAAGCAAAAGCACCACTCTGCTTAACTTGGTAATCTAGCTTTCAACCCTTCTAGTTACTTGTACTGCAGAGACCACACAAAGTCCCAGCCCAAAATCTCTTGGCTTGCAGCACACGACCTTTCCTCCCTCCCGCTGAGCAAGTCAGTCACAGAGTATTTGTGCACATACTCATCAAGGCCAGTGCTCTGACATTGCTTCTACTGCCATCCTTCCATACTGGTCAAGGGCAACCATCTAGACCACCTCCTTGATTCTCCATCTATCAATGGGGCCTGGAAGTCTCCTAGTCAGTCAAGCTTAAGTAAATGCACTTTATGCTAGATAAATAGTGGAGATATACCCACTTACTCAGTCTCCAACATTAATATCGGAGTATCACCAAAGCAACAGAGGTACTCCAATATCTGTGAAAAATATGTGATCTAAGAGACAACAGCTCTTGTGAACCCCTGCTGGATCTCCTCCTACCTGTTCACCCAGGCTTCTGGGATATTATGGGCAGCATAAATAGTGAAGCTGAGCTGGGAATCTAGGCTGATGTCTGCACATGAAGGGCTTTTAGGTATGCGGGCAAACTGGAAATTTACATCAATGCTGGTGCTGTAAACATAGATGAGACTAGAGATCGCCATGGAGAACTCAGTCACAGCAGCCTCTATTAACAGTGAAAGGAGAGAGAGAGAAATAAAGGTTAGCAATAGGTCATTTATGAAGAACTATATTTATCTTAAACCATCAGCTATGGCTTTGAAATGCTTCCTAATAAAATTTAATTAAAATGACATAAACTACCAACTGAAGCCAATTGGCCATCTGTGCTTCTGAAACCAGCCTTAGATCATTTCTAGTGTATCATTAACAGTCTTTCATTACATTGCTTTCAAATTAAGGCATTTTCAAAGTAAGCATTTTAAAGTACAGCAAGTTAGTCTGTGCCTCAGATATGCCATTTTAATTTTTGTGCTGGAAGGATTTTTATTATGTAGGTATTTTGTAATTTCAGCAGCTAGGTAGCTACTTAGTTCAAGGGAACTGTCAATGCAGTAGAATGGAGAAAAGGTACAGGTTAAATTTTAAGACTATGAAGCTGTTGCAACTGTAGGCAAAAATTCATAAAATGTATACAATAGCAGTGACAATCAGACATAGTCAGCATTCAGATGGTCATAGATTGGTAGTAACATTACAGAACTACGGACAAATATACATGAAATGCATGCACCCTTTATTTACGTTATTTCCTCTGGCTTAAGCTCTTCAGTGCTTTTTCTGCAATTACTGGCTTTTATCCATCTCTCCCCTCTCTGTTTTTGGAGCAGCTAGGGATTGTGTGATTGCCAACGTACATAAAAATCCCTAGTCCTGGCAGCCTTCATCAAGTGAAAAGAGCTCACACAAGCACTCGTTTCTCAGACAAGGGATAGGTTGAGAGAGAAAGTGTTAGAGTACACTGTATCATTCCAAGATCAAAATGATTTGTCTTCCAAGAGGAGTACCCCAAATTCTCCTTTTTTTCCTCCTCCTAACTCATGGATTCCTACACGATTAAGAACATTCTCTGTCAACAGTTATAGCTCCTGACATACTATACTTGTATTCAGAAGCCATCTACTAGCTGTCTAATAGTGTTTATTGAAAAAAAGAAAAAATTCCCAGGAAAAGGAAGCCTGATACTTGCTTGTATTAGGTTTTATATTCAGGATAGGTGCAGGAATCCTGCCCAACATCAGAGACAGATACCACAATTCACTGGACTTAGCTATCTGACAGAAATGTCTCCAAAAAACATATCATTGGTCTTGAATTTTATTCCCCTCGACACCTTTTGCCTTTAAACTAGAAAACATTCAGAACTATTGAATCACAAAATGCATTGTAAACAGTGCAAAGGAATTATTTCAGTCTTCATCTTATAATAGACAAATTTTAACTGCTTAACAACAGAGGTACACATAAAATGAAAATAGTTTGACATACTGTCCTGGTTCAGCTAGGATAGGGTTAGGTTTCCCCAGCAGAGAGAGAGGGGGAAGGGATCTCCAGCCGGGTTATTCATACCATGCTGGCGTCAGGTCCAGGGGCAGAACCCTTTTTACTTTGCTCTTTGGCGGGCTCAGTGGCGGGAACCTGTTTCCGTGACCATTTAGCGGTATTTCTCTGTATATAATTTGTCTTGTTCATAGTTATTGCTATTTATTGTTGTTACCATTGCTACTGTTGCTGTTCAGATTATCACACTGTTGTATTAAATTTCTTCTTATTTTAACCCGGGTTTGTGTCTCACTGCCAGCCCAACTTGCTGAGGGTGGGGAAGGGGCAACGGCAACATGCTCTCCGGTCCCGGCAGGGCTTAAACCTGCACACATATAGTGGGGCTTGCTGCTACTGGAAATAGACAGAAAATTATTGCACACATTCAGGACTGGCTGGAATAGTAATCATCTTCCATATAAGAAAACTGAATTATTTTAGAGTCTAACAGGTTAAGAAAACTCAGTCTTTTTATTATCTGTTTGTGTATACTTCTCTGTCTAGCATTTCTGTATACTTCTCTGCTAGACAAATGAAACTTCATCATTATTTATCTAATTATTAGGAGATCCAGAATTAAGTTCTTCTCTGGAATAGGTTTCCTAAGATGTAAGCAAATGTCTAAGTATGACCTGGTCTGCAGCTGCAGGATTCTTTTCTACATTAATTTTCTTACTCTTGTCAGCTCTCAGTTTAAAAACACTCTGTGGTTTCCATGCCAAAGTCTGCCCTTCCCCCCCCAATCTTCATTCATTAAACCCGTAGCAATTAACTAAATTAGAGACAAACATTTTAGGTAGTCTGTAAATGTCGATTACTCACAAGAGTTGATGAGCAACTTTTCACTGTATTTTTATGAGCTGTTGAATAGGATTTGGTAAACTGAAATTATATCGCCCATTCATGAAGCCAGAGAATTTTACTGCTTTTTATGACTTTCTGATTAATAAATCTTAGATAAGAAAGGACTATGGTGTTTCACTGATTTACAAAACACAGGCTATGGACTTCCTACAGAGGATTCACAGCTTCAGCTATGCCAGAGTTTATTTTCTAGAAAGGTATCCCAGGCATAGCCAGTATCTAGAAGATGATGAATACACCACACCACACCACAAAGTGAATTGTGACCAAGATTAATAATCTCATAACTCAAACCTCATAATTTATTTCTGGTGTGAAATTATTTTGCATCACTGAAGATGAGAAGAAATGAGACTTGCAGAAATGAGATGAGACCAAGTGAAATGAACTTTAACCACAGCTGCCAGATATGCTTATTTCTGACACATGTTCCTTGTACATGAAGTTTGAAGGAATAAATTTCACCCTTGGTGAGAAACAGAACAATCCACACCATCCCTGAAAGTGTTAATGAATATAGCTGCAGGTGCCTTCAAGATTTAGTAAGGACCATACTACCTTATTCCTTATAGAAAACAACTTATGTTCTTCTCAATTCAGTATTACAAATCAGATATTATTTTAGTGCCAGACCTTCCAACAGAGTAGGTAGTGTGCTGTTACTGCACCAGCAGATGACATCGATTCAATATATATTAAACATGCCCTCTCTGACTCTATGCCCATTTTCTCTGGGTAAAACATTACAAACATCTGGTTGAATAGAATATGGAATGAAGGCTTAAGACCCTTTTGACACCTTAAATATATTTTGGAGAACAGAAGATTGATATTGTTCTTTCCTACTTATTTTCAGAGAGAAGGAAAAAAGCAAGATCCTAAATAAAGTTTAGGTTATACCCACACACAAAACCCCCAGAAAAAAAAAAAAATGTAGGTAAGGTGCTAAGCAACATTAATTAGACCATTATTATAATAAGAAAAAGGCAAAACATGAAAGGGCAATAATGTAAATAATGATCAGATGCAGTTTCCAAGCACCCGTATTTACCTTATTGTTTCTTTCTACTAGTTGAAGAATCCTATGAATTAACCCTTGAAAGAAACTTAAAAATTTCCTCTTGTCCTGGTATCAAAAATGTTTCAGCTACTATATACTTTATAAGGCCTTGGTAACATCTGTCTAATTTTTTTGAGAATGGGGGGGGTGTCATTTTTTACAAATTGGTCTTGGTTAAAAAACCCCTGGCTTTCCAAACAATGTACCAGGATGTAGCACAGTAACAAGTTAAGAGGTGAAGAACCATGCTCAGGTTTGAAAACAGTGCAGGAGACACAGAGATAAAATTGAATAAGTAAAAAGCTCTTGATATTTTTTTTATATTCTGAAACCATAAGTGATTTTTCCAAAACAAATCTATAATGGCTTTGTGCTAGGAAAAGGAGGAAGTGGATTTTTCAGTTTTATATAGGAAAACCTTCAAAAATCTTTCCTTTTTTTTTTTTTTAAAATTTCTGTGGTGACTATTTTTATAATCAGATCTAGGAGTAATTGTCAAATACCAAGCACAATTAGTGAATCCTTAAATGTAATGATGTAATGATGACTTAATTAAATGTATTGTCATCAAGGTATCTGATTTCTGCATTCATTCAAAAAGAGCAACTCCAGCAATTCAGTTAGAAAAGGCTGTTGATTCAGTATCATCAGTTCATGGTGCATACTAGACTTTCTGGGATGGGTCCCTGAGAACTACTGATCATATTACAGAAGCTGCTTATTATGTCTGATCCTGTGAAATCCCTGCCTGAAGTAGCAAGGCTGTAGACATTGTATAAACATTCATTCATCAGCTTTTGAGAAACACGTACAGACTCAGTTTTGTACCAGTTTGCAGGGTTGTCTTTTTATACTCTGGATTGCAGCAAACTCCAATGTTAAATCTCTATTCATGTGAATAATCTTATTCTTTTTGTGGGAACACTTGAAGCTGTAGAGAGGTACTAATATCTAGAAACTGCCTATTGTTCCTAACATGTAAGAAGAAGTAAAAAAATACTTTGAGTACTAAAACATTAATGTTCTCTTCTAATGACTTCATACAGAGGAAAAAGACCATGATCCAGATTTAGGCATAACATGGATAAGTACTGTTCTATTCACAGCAACAGAATAATTTGGTCCACAGAGATAACACTATTATTAGAGCCAGTTATTGCAACATTAAATCAAGGCTAGATATTTTGAATATAATATTTGACTTGCTTAGTCCATGGTGAATGACTAATATTAAACCTCTGATGACATTTTATTAAAAAGAAAGACTAAAGCACTTTCTAAACAAATTATTAAGTAAGGCTTTAATTTTAATAGTATCCTTAATCTTTCTCTCTTTTGTGGTAGAAGCTGTAATGAAGAAAAACAAAACCTATGATACTCAGGGTAATTATCACTTGGGGGAGGAAGAAGAGAGGAAAAAGAAATTATTAGTTGGAGTGATTGCTGCTCTTACTGTTCAAATTTGATCTTGTTTTCTTCAAGATAAACATGAATACAGATAAGAGACAGAAAAGAACAGTACAAGTGGGAAATACAGTCTGTCTCCTCCCTGGCTGTCAATGCTGACTTCATTTGAAATTGTGCTGCTAGGGAAAGCAAAGCACATGTTTTTTAGCTTCCCAGAGATCTGGCAAAAATTACTAGCACTGAGCTAAGGTGGTGATTTTACTTTACTTTTGGGTCACAGGCTTGCAAATTTTCACAAGCCTGCTAAGCATAATGAAGTAAAATGATGTGGGAAACAAGTGAGGTGGAAAAGGAAACACAAAGGTGATTTCAGCAGGAATGCACAACTCGCCACCTAGTTGGTTTTTACTCTAGCTTCAGCAGGTGAAAATATCATCTGGATTCTTCTCAGGCTCAGTGTCTCTAGGTCAATGGATGGGAGGCCCCATGGAATTATCATGAAGGTGAGCACCAAGAAGACAGGGACTAAGGAAAGCTTCTGAGTCCCAAAAGAAGAGACATGTAGAATGGCTTTGTTCACTTCTTGTGGATCAGGCCCAACTTCTAGCAGATCAGTTTTGGTCATTGCTCTTGCACTTTGTTTTTATCAGATATGGCCTTAACACCAGCTCTGATATAATAGCTAGGCTTTTCTGTTAACACTCATTAGCCAAACAAATATTTTCCTGGCTTTTAGAAGTTTATTTAATAGCTGCAGGTGTAAGGTATGTAGTACGTTAAAACATACATGAAATCACTGCATGTAAGAGATCAGTTTGAATTTTGGTTACCTTGGACAACTTTGAATGTAGGCTTCTCCACAGAATGACTAGTGGTCTGGCAAGTTCTGACTTGCAATTGGTAAGTTGCAGCTTCTAGTATTACACTACCAAAAGGATTCTGCAATTGTTACGAAATTAGGGTGTGCAGAGAACAAAGAAAGAAGCATCACATCACAGCTGAAGGCATCCAGGTGGCAATAAATAGGTACAGAGAAGTAGAGTTAAAAATCTGATTCCTTTACTTTATTCAATAAATCATATTGTCCTTGAGGAAGCTGCTGGTTCAACGAAGTCGAAATTTGGAAATATCTTTAAGTAGAGGGATGTTTTAGATCCTTTCCAGCCAGGTTTTCTGAACAGTGTTCAGAGGAAGATGTTTCTAAGGTTGATTAGTAACAAATGTTCTTTGTCATCATCAACAATTAGTGCCTATTAAGAGTGTTAAAAAAATTAACAGGATAAATGACTAGATCCAAGGCAGAAGAATCCTGCAAACCATACTTACTTTCTCCTCCCCTCTGCACCTGCATGTTCTCCCCCTACTCCCCTGGCCCTCCAGCTGCTTAGCTTTTCCTGGCAGTTTACAAATATAATTGCTGTTTCTTTGTTTGCTGTAAGTGAAGTTGAGTATCAGTGAAACATCAAGCCTGGCATTTGGAATTCTGCATTTGAACCACCTCTGTGTTTAAAAGGCTGCACATATTTTTGAGGTTGATTTACTTTTTTGCCTCTCTGAGCACACCACAACTGAGAATCTCAGAGGCGATTTATTTTCCTCAAACAAAATGGAGAGACACTGGAATTCCCAGAACACTGCAGCCCACCTCAACATTCAGATGGAGGTCTCTTTGAAAGCATCCACGTAGACACCCCCAGCTGATGTTGCAGGCCAGCCACAGAGTGGTAGAGCGGGACCCATGCCCCAGTGCGGCTGTCCCCTCCAAGAATCCAACGCAGGCATCTGTGACAGAAGAGACTCCTGCACTTCCCTCAGTCTGCGGGGTGCTCTGCAGGCATACTAACAGTACAGGGCATTAGCCAGTGAGTCTAAGCTAATTTTAACTGAGGAACTAAATAAGATTGGGTCTTTGTTTATGTCCATTACTGTTAACTAACCTACTCTTTTTATGACAGTATATAATTTAAGACAACACATTATTTACACAACAAAAGCCAACGCAGATCTAAAGCTTAAGCAGGGAGGAATGAAAGTTATTGAAGCCAAGTATAAAAGACATACACAAAAATATTTTTTTAGGCTTTCATGCTGTTCCTTATTTTCCCTTTTCTCTGCAGAAAAACTTAGGATTAAGGACAACTGCTATGACCACCACTAACTTTAATCAGTTCTTTTACTCTACTAGTCATTCTCCGTATTTGAATCTCCAGATTAGTTTTAGAAAATGCTATGTTTTATTTACATTTTTAAATCACTTAAATTTTAACTTGCTGTAATTACCTTATAATATGACTAAATATGTAAACATCTACAATATGCCAACAATAACAGTTAACTAATACAAATAGCAAAACATGTGTTTTCTGATGATACATCCTGAATTAACATATTTAAAAAATAACACTTTACCTTTGTCTGGTGTTTCCACAATTTCCACACTTTGAAGTGAATTCTATAAAGACAAAACCCGAGGGAAAAAGTAATCAGATATTTCAGAAAAGAACAGATAGCAGTTATAGTGGTTTTAGGAGTAGTACTCATGAAAAATAAGGTGAGAAAGGGGAAGGATGTATCCTAATGTTATGATGACAGAAGACATGACTGGAATTCAGAGTACCAGAATTTACTTTCTCCAGCTCTTCCATCTGCTTACTGTACCATCTCTGACAAGTCACTCAGGATCTGATTTTCAGTAGTATTTAGGCGTGTCAGTATACAAAGAAGCACTTATCCACATTTGAGGTGCATCCATGTTTTCAGTCTCTGAATTGGTATAACAGAGATAAGAATACCCTCTCCATCCCTTTTACATGCCTGATATATTCAGATGTGAATCCCACAACCACACTGAGCAGGCAGAGCCCCAGCATCCTTTCAAAGCTGAGGAGCACCAACCGCCACTTGAGTGGCCTACATTTCACCTCCATTTCTGTGCCAAATCAGCAAAAATAGCTGTGCTCTCTTCAAAAGCCTTTAAGCAGGCAGCTAACCAGAGAGCCAACAGGAACTATTAGGCGTGGGCATTTAGGAGGTGTTTATACCCTTGATGCCTAAACACAACTCTTGATGCCTAACAAATTCAGTATCTGGATTCCCACCTCTCATATTCCACTGTGGTCAGCCAGAAGTGCTGAGTGCATATGACTGCTGAAAGGTCAGGCCAGTTATTTAGACTGAACCGATCAGCTTCCAGATTAATTAAACTTTTTTTTTTTTTTTTTTTTTTTTTTAAAAAAAAAAAAAAAAGTTCCTCTATTAAATCCCCGAGTACAATAACTGCCATCAATCGGACCTTGCTCCAGGCTTCTCAGACACTGGGCAAAATTAAATACTGCTACACTGCCTGTGCCTCCCCATCCACACAGGAAAAGCTGTCATGGCAGGGAGCTCAGTGCATCTCCTGACAGGACAGGCTGCACCCACTGCCCCAGGGCCATGGGTGGGACGTGGCCTCGGCTTAAAGGCAAGCACAAGAGACCAGCTTCCCCTGCCACTGCTCAGTCTGCCCTGTCTTTGCCCAGCTCCAACAGCAGACTCACATGTGCCAAGGTGACATAGAAATAAGTTACTGAGGTGCAAATCTTGACCAGAAAGACGAGCAAGTTAGTTCTGTTTCAGCCCATGGCTTGCACTCTTTGAACTCATGTCCCTGAAAGGTTTACTATCCTTTACAGTCATTAATCTTTTTGCAGCAGATTGAGGATCTTTCACACTAGTGCTATGTATTCAGCAAGATGCTTCTTAAATACTACAATGCTTGAAGAGGTGACATAAATGCAATGCTGGATGTACATTCTTCCTCCAGTACTCAGCTTGGAGCTGCCAGCATTTCTCTGGTAAATATGAAGAGAAGGCAAATACTTACTTTATGGGAGAAGGAAAGCAACCTCCAGGCTGAGAAATATGTTTTCACAATCTTTATAACGCAGTGAGACAAATAGGAACAGAGACCTTTGTTCAAGTCTCTCAATTTTTTGAAAGTAAATGGATTTTTAGAACAGCACTTATAATTTTAACATAGTGTAGCCCATTTAATATATAGTGCCTGTTCTGGCAGGATTTGGTCTCCAAGGACTTCCTGTGAGCTGCTGTAAAAAGGGGAAAAAAACCCAACACAACAACAAAGAGAGAGAGATGAAAAACATTAATTGTGCAGCAGGCCCAGAGTTTCCCCTGAACGGATTTTAAAATCCCAGAGTTAGGTTGGTTAAAAAATGAATGAATCACATTTATGAAAAGATGCAATCAGTTAAGAAGAAACTATCACTGGTGCCAGTTGCTTCCATAATCTCTTAATCACGTACAGGAATGCACAGTACTGGCAGTGAGGAGGCAGTAATGAGTTAATAAATACAGTTTAATTAAACACAGAAGACTGGAAGTAAATTTCTTTGGGTTTTTTTTTTTTTTGTTTTGTTTTGTTTTGTTTTTTTTTGTTGTTGTTTGTTTGTTTTGTTTGGGTTTTTTTCTCCCCCCATAAAACCAGAATTAGACAGAACATTCAGATTTTTTTAAAGTATGCAAACACACATGTACAGATATGTATACACAAACATATACTAGCATCCCATGTAACTGAGAATGGAAGGAGTAAGCAGCAGTTTGCCTGAGGCATTATGTGCACATGGAGCTTGCTAAGTGGGTTTTTTAAAAGGTATTTCACACAAAACCACGGGAGAAATTACACTAAAACAATCAGGATATCATGGTGAAAAAACAATTAGAACTTTTCTCCTGGCATTTCTCCCTTACCCAATGTGTAATGCTGCAGCACTTGAGATGTAACAGGTAGCCTCAAAAGTTTCACTTTACTTGTGGTGCAAGTGTGTCTGAAAAAAGCCTCTCTTCTACCTAACAAAAAGTCTTGGGGGTACTATGTTGATTAATATAATAGAAATAATTCAAGCAGACTGACAAAATACACTAATACTGCAGGATTTAATCATTTTGTCAATACCCAGAATTCACAGAAAATGCCTCTATACTTCAGTATGAGTTTAACTCAAGAAAGGTTTGGAGGAGTTGGTACTTCATCAGACATCCAACTGAGTACTAATTTTGTCTACATATGTTACAGACAGGAGAGCTAGTCCATTGTCTTCATATAAATATTGATAAATATAGATAAAAATCTGATTTGTTATATAGTATTCTATACATGAGGTAGTTCCATATAGTGTATAATCCCTATTTTCAATCCCAAACACAAATACAGGCTGGGTGATGAGTGGATTGAGAGCAGCCCTGGGGAGGAGGACTTGGGGGTATTAGTGGATGAAAAACTCACTATGAGCCAACAATGTGCGTCACAGTCCAGAAAGCCAACTGTATCCTGGGCTGCATCAAGAGAAGTGAGGCCAGCAGGTTGAGGGAAGTGATTGCCCCCCTCTACCCCATTTGCATCAGACCCCATCTGCAGTGCTGTGTCCAGCTCTGGGGCTCCCAACATAAGACAGACTTGGACCATCAAGTGGGTCCAGAAGAGGCCACAAAGATGATCAGGAGGCTGGAGCACCTCCCCTGTGAGGACAGGCTGAGAGAGTTGGGGAAGAGAAGGCTCTGGGGAGACCTGAAAGCAGCCTTCCAGTACTTAAAGGGGGCTACAGGAAAGATGGGGAGGGACTCTTATCAGGGAGTGTAGGGATAGGAGGAGGGGTAATGGTGTTAAAAATGAAAGAGGGTAGATTTAGATTAGCTATGAGGAGAAATTCTTCACTATGAGGGTGGTGAGGCCCTTGCACAGGTTTCTGAGAAGTTGTGTGTTCCACCTCCCTGGAAATGTTCAAGGCCAGGCTGGTCTGGGGTTTTGAGCAACCTGATCCTATTTGAAAGTGCCCCTGTCCTGGCAGTGGGGGTTGGAACTAGACGATCTTTGAAGTGCCTTCCAAGCCAAACCATTCTATGATTCATAAAATGGAACAGCGTTCAAGTTACAGAACACACAGAAATGTATTTTCCTTCTTTATGACATTTATAGTTCAGTTGCTGCTGAGAAAGATGAAGCTCTTTATAAAATCAAAACTGAACTTTTTCTACATTGCTGAAGTCAAATCGACTGTCTTAGCACTTATTTCTCAAAGGATTAAAAAGCAAGCAGCAGCAATGACATTTGCTGGTGAAAGAACAGTTGACCTTTTTTTTTAAAAAACTTTTTTTTCTTTTACCTCCATTTGTTTGAAGTCAGTTGTTAGTCAGGTCTGCTTCACCAAAGACGGAGTAAGGGGGAGAGGAGTGTCAGTCAAGGTCATAGACAACCTTTACAGGAAGGCTTCAAGGGACAGACAACCAGTTCATAACCAAGCCTGAAAGGGAATGTTAAGCGAACAAAACCTCAAAAACTTAAAAACTAAAAAAGAAGTAACAATCTAGTCAGTTGTCTCCAAGAGAAATGTGGAGCAGCTTCTTATGCGAATACTAGGACTGAAAAATATTTTAAGACTACTGATAAAGTATTCAATCAGGACAGAATCTTTTTAACATTCAGAAGAGAGTTTTCAGGAACAGTATCATTTCACACATTACAGATGAGCAAACACTATAATTATTGTCACCACTTATCATTTTTAGCCTCTGGAGAGTACAGCCAGGACCAGCACTCTATTGCACTGGAGACTGTACATATAGATAAGGAGAGGCATTCCTTGCTCTGAAAAGCTTATAATTTAAATAGGTAAAATAGAAAAAGGAAAGTGTATTTCTCCTTCTGTGCCATGAGGCACATGGAAGTTGATTCAGCAGAATATATGTTTTTGAGAGTGAAAATTAGACACATGCTGGAGAATGAGCAGTGGCAACTGGGAACACTTGGAGCAGGGTTTTTTGTTGTTTGTTTGTTTTTTTTCAGGTTTCTTGTTTGTTTTTACAACAGATAGATCGTCTTGTAATTCAATTATTTACCTAGTAACAATCACTTTATCTCTAAAATAAAAGCAGTATTTGCATGAGAGTGACTCAGAAGACAAACAAAAGTAAAAATGAACATCAACAGACACCTTAGACTTGAAAAGGATAACCTGTGCTCTTTGGTTTTTATTCCATTATCTTATTCTTCATGGCATGACATGTTGGGTTTTCTGATTGCTCAGGACAGGCCACACTAATGGGAACTATATCTATCTCTGCTGGAATTCAGAGAGGTTAGGGCTGAAAACTGATTCAGGGATACTCAGTAAATATAAGTCAGTCATAGGAGGCACTTTACACATTGAGTTCACAGAGCTGACCTGAACACTCAAAGACAAAATACACTAAATATCTCTTAACTCCAAAAGAAATCTTTCAACAAATTAGTCCCAATACATCTCTTCTGCTCTAATTCCTTTCTAAAGGAGAACTTACTCTGTTACTGTTCTCTTTATCTTTTTACTAGACCAAGCTCTTTAAGAAAGATTCCGGGTTGACAAACTACTTCCCAAGGGGTAGATGATGATCTGCCTGATGCCTCTCAGGAAAGCCTGGAGTTTAACTGAAAAGCAGATCATATGACTCCCTTGTTACTTCTTATATCTTTTCTTTACTGTACTTGCCCTTTAATATACAGGAAGAACTTTGCTTAAATTGAGATACTCTTATTTCTGTTTAAATCATCAACATGCCAGATAAAATGTGTGCTGTCACAGACCTATTTATGCTGGAATTTACCTAGAAAAGTGACTTCTAGTAATTGATGCTGGAGTGGACTTAAAAAGATTTAGGATGCTATATAAACAAGATTTACACTGAGTCACAGCCTAGAAGGGAAACAAGAGAAGATGCTTAAGTGAATCAGCTGGCCAGCTCTAAGCAACAACAAAAAAACCCTAGAGTGATGTTATGTTGTTTCTTGCAGCTTGGTCCTTAACAATACCTGCCAGCCTTCAGAGAGACAGCACCCGTATACCTAATTCCAGAAGGCCACATCTGGTTCTGCCCAGGGCCATGCAGCAATGTTTGCTCTGTGATCTCTAGTGTCCTCTGTTCCAGAAATGTAGTGTAGGGATTTACCTACAACCCAGACCTGCAGAGAGCTACACTGATGTTCCAGAGTTTATTTGCTTGGGTCCCATACCTGACCTAAATTGGAAACTATTCCCTCCCTTCCTCACACCCATCTAAGAGGAATGGATGCTAAGAATGCAGAGATTTAAAAAAAAAGAGGGTTTTTGAGCATCACTGGAGCCTCTTCAACTAACATACTTTCTGCTCTTTGGTGAAACTTTTCATCTCTCAGGAAGAATGTAAGATGATGAGTATTTGAGGGTTTGAACCTGTCAAGAGTAAGTGTATATGGATGACAGTATATCATTAGTTTGCTATATATCACTCCTGCAACACAAGAAATGTTATAAAAAAGAATTATATTAGCTTTCCCCAGTCTTATGCTTTGGATCTCAAACTGTGTATCAGGCATAATTAAATTTCACTTATGTAGCTAGACATTTTTCTAATTAACACTCAGTAGTTAACTCAGTTAACACTAGTTATCCCATTGTTTACTTTCCTGTCCTAGGTATTCTTACACGTCACAAGCCATGGGCTAAAAAAAAACGCAAAAAACACAACAATAAAGAGAAAGAATAAAAGTTTTCTGATCAGGTAATAGTATGAAGACAGAATTTCATTAGGGTATGAAAGAATTAGCATGACTTAAGATTACACTAGGCTAAATCCAAGTGATTAATGGCTTGATTTTCAAATTTGCTGAGTAACTGTATTTCCAAGATGCTGACTTCCAAAGAATTTTTGGGTGCTCAGAAGTTCTGTAAATCAGGTCATAGTGGCTTGTCCAAGGTCATGCCACAGCAGCTGATGACAAAACTGAGAACTGATACTGCCCCTCCAAAGTCCCAGTTCACAATTATACAGTAACTCCTGGAAAACCCACTTCAGTGTTTTAAAAGTGAACATTACAGCTAAAAATCAGGACTATATGAGATGCTGGTCCTTTTTTTTTTTTTTTTTTTTTTTTTTTAAATCATTAACATCTATGCTAAATATATGAAAACTGAATACTTTGAAATTGCATGATTTGGTATAAGTGATGTGGCAAAACAGATATGTATTCTTGGTGTAAATAAGAAAGAACAACCAGAGGACTGTATCAGTTACAGTTAAACATAGGACAAGTCCTCTGTTGCTTCACTGTCACACTTTGTCAGCAATCTTCTTTTATAGTGTCTCTATCTAATACTCATCAGGGGAAAATATGCAGTAAGACAACAGAATGGCCTTGATCAATCAGAAAATTAGTGATATCCATTCAAGCTCCAGTTTTAAAGAGAAAAACAGGACATCAACTTGAATCTTTTACCTGTTCTTTCACCAATGGCATTGCATAGAGTTTCTTGACTGCATCAGTAATGTCTCTGGTTTCCACAAAAGAGAGGACACTGCAGATTATTTTAGCTACTTCAATCACATTATCAACTTTATGCTCTTGATACTAAAGAAAAAAAATAAACAAAAAAAACCCCAAACCAGTAGACACATACCATTTATCAGAAACATCTTACCATAAACTTCGGGCCCATGAGTACGTAGAAAATTATATCTGCTTATATAAAATTCAAACACACAATGCATTAAGTCTTGATACGTTGAAATTGGTAGTGACCAATGGTTTCCTAAGGATAGCATAACTTTTGTTGAAGTCCAGTTATCTTCCAAAAATGTGCCTTATTGAAAATTGTAACAAATTTAGTATCTAAGACTGATTTTTGAGGCAAAACATTGGTTTGTCTGAACTTCATGAACATAGAAGCACTGTAAAGAAACTTCTGAAGAAACCTGAACCCAAATGATTCAAACTTTCTGAAGTTTTTATGATACAGTGAATTTATCCCCACTATTTTCTTCTACCCATCTCTGTGAGAGCTGGCAGACAGCCATTTTCCTCCTAAAAATAGCGACTGTGTGGGAGGCTGTATAATCTGACACCTGTAGACAGTACTTCTGAAACTAGCTTTTCTGCAAAATATATATATAGTTCAAATTATTAAATCTTATTGATAATAAATTTAGATCTTTAAATATTACCATATGAAAGAAATATCTAGATGAATAATCTCAGAAATGCTTTGGGGAATATAAGAAAAAAAATTGGATCCCAAAGGAAGGAAAATGCAATTGGTACTCTATGTTCAGGAAAATAAATAAATAAATAAAAAGTCATGGGATTCCAGCAGAGTCTTATTACTTCATTAAACCTTAACATACATTCTCTGAACAAGCAGAAGTTCTCCCTATAAATATTCTTCATGTTTCTGTACTGAAAAACATTCCTTTTAGTGCACTACAGCATGTCTGATAAAATCATTTCTCTAACTCATCCATTTCATGCCTGAAAAAGAGAAGATGAACTTTCTATTTTCAAGCTTAAGGTCTATATGCTGAGAAGGTTACTACCTGTCTTTAATACAAATACATATAAAACCACATTGAGGTTATGGATTCCTCATTACCTGCCTTGTGCAGAACTAAAGCAAGAATGAACTACACAAAATATCCTCAAATATTTGGTGGTCAGAATTCTTTTAAATATAAATTGTTGTGTTTTTTTTAGTAATTAAAGACAGCAACACCTCCTATTAGAGGTTCTGGAGAGAAAAATGTTATGGCTGGCTGATCTCTTGAGAACTTTAGACCCTCTTTTGGTCTGAAGTTGATTCACCCTTCTGCCAATTTCCGAGACGTGTATTTCCTTTCTTTCATATTTCTTTCCTAACACTTAGATTTTTAAATTGAACTTCTGCAGGATTTATTCTATGAACACATACATTGCCAGCAGAAGTAGAAACCTGTAAAAATGGTATGGCTTTGTTACCATATATAACACTGACACAACCAAAGCATTATACATGCTGGTTTACTATGCAGTTGTTGAAGAAATGCATATATATATATATATATATATATATATATATGAACCTCTC